AAGTGCTAAAACAAGTTAATAAGTAATCTTATATTTTAATGGGGATATTAAGGAAAGTAAGACTTTTAAAATTAGGGAAATTAAGAAAAATAACTGTTAAAACTAGTATCTAAAGAAACGAAAACCTTTGTTGATTGTCTTTCTTATCTTACTATTTCCAAACTATTGTCCACTTGTACAATATATACAGGGTAGGGCAAAAGTAGGTTTATAGTTGTTTGTATGGAAAATAATACAATAATACAACAAGAATAAACTGTGTTTCATGTACTCACAACTGTAAACCTACTTTTACCCCATCCTGCCTAAGCAAGAGATGAATCAAAGTTCACTAGTTCAATGCCATTGCCTTCATAACAATACAATAATATATTTCATAGATATGAATATATGCAAGTTGATGTGATGTATGTTATAATAAATATTTTCATTTGTACAAGGCTTGCTAATTGTTAGAAGCATTATAAAACAAGATCTAACAATTTCAGAAGAATGTATTTAATGCTGCCACCATATTTTTAACAAATGAATCACAATATCATTAAGCTAGAGATCCCAATTTTTTAGTTTTCTTAAATCATGCTCACAGTTGTACATCAGGAAAGTCCCAGAAAGTCAGGAAGAAGGTGACCTACCCCTTGATACCAGGGGCACCGGGGCATCTATATTTTGGGCAAAGAAAGGGAGAACAGATGAAGAAGGGATGTTTCCTATTCTTTCTTGTTGTTACATGAAAAAAAAAAAGTGTTCTTGGAATAAATCCCATTGCACTGCATTTCTATACTTACATGATTAATTTCCAGAAATAGAGCTGTCAACACTACAGGAGAAAATCATTTCAAGGGCTTGGTGGATCAGAAATGTGTCAGCATCAAAACAAATGATGATTTAAAATGGTTCAAAAACAATTTTTTTCAGTGTATCCTCACTACACCCAGAAAAGTCACTGATGTTAAGTCAGTAAGAAATGTAGCAAGAACAGAATTTGAAGCTAAATTAAATAGATGGAGATGATACAAAGATGTGAAGCTACAAAGGCAGAAGCCACTTCTTAAGACGGCTCAGAGGTGGGGCCATGAGGTTTATTGCCACAGGAAGGGAGGGGGTGAGAACTTTCATCAATGAAGAAGCTGGGGTAGGCTGGCTTTGAGTCCCACACTTTCTTTTTTCATTTACTTAGTCAAGACATTTGAACTTAAAACTAGGCTTTGTATAGAGTGAATGGATAACTTAATTCCAGATCATCCCCACTGGCTAGCATATCAAGGACTGCTCACAGTTGTACATCAGGAAAGTCCCAGAAAGTCAGGAAGAAGGTGACCTACCCTTTGATTCCAGGGGCACCGGGCATTCTAGAGTCCAGGACAGCAGTGCTGTGCTAGGTGAGCACAGAGGACTTTCGCTACACGTCTCATGTGATTTCCTGGAGGAACACTTCTCAGCTAGTGCCCTGGAGCAATCCAGGATTGCCAAGAGGCCAGGCAGAGAGAGCCTGAATTAGCTTCTCTGAGTGACCCTGAGTGACATGAATGGAAGGCCCTAGAAGTGTCTGCATCCCCTCGGGTGCTAAAAGAATAGTAGAGACGAGATCTGGGAAGCTTGCTAGAGTGGGTCTCCAGTGCCATGCAAAAATAGCTCTGTGGTCACGGGCTACAGGAGATGAATGGCCAATCCGCAGTGTCAGATGCTGAGGCAGCAGGCAGTGATGCATTTGCAGACAGGGCAGTGGTGCTGCACTGGGAAGCCAGCGGGACCCTGAGCCTGCGGGAGCCCCAGGAGAGCAGAAGGGAAGAATATGGTCCCTCAACTCTCTCTGAGATCCCCTCCCCCACTCCTTCACCACAAAGGTACTGCAAGCTGTCCACCCCTCAAACACGTGCCATCTCAAGGAAGAAAAGGAGATGGAGAAAAAAATCCAAGGGAGATAATGTAATCTTGGAATTGACCATGTTACCTGAGAAACACTGATTCTTTATATTGTTGGGTAGGTTTAATTTACCAGATTGCACTAAGCATAGTTTCTCACCTCTTATCCAGAGAGTAGGACCTTAGGAGGAGACTAGACCAGATGCAGGAAAATAAAGAGGCTTTTCTTTGACGGAGTGTAGGGTACAAATTTACAACAAATCACCCCCAAGGCCACTGCTAGCCTCTCATTCTCATCTGCTCCTCTCTTCCTGTGGCGCTTCTCCCAACTATTCTCAAACTGGCCAGGGCCTTCTGAGCCCGCCATTCCCCCTCCTCTGGCGTCACACTGTCAGAGAACCCGGTCTTCAGCACTGATCTTTTGCTCTCATTCAGCAACACTCACCCCCAGGATAGACCAATCCGGTTGGACTATAGTTGAGGTGCTAGAGCAGGAAGCTGCAGGCCCCTGCTGTGTTAGGAACTGCCCTTCAGATGCAGTACTGTGTGCAGGTGTCTCAGGGGAGAAGAGGAGCAACCTGCTCCGGAGAGCACTTGGGTGCTCAGGGCAGTGACTACTTTCCAACCACTGTAGGAGAATTTCAATATTTTAACAATCAGCACAGCCAGACTGGTATGTATTAACTGGATACCAGAAGCTTCTATGTCTTCTCTCCCTCTTCCAATCAGAGCCCAGACTCTCCAAAAGCCCACTATTTCTCTTACGCCCTCCATGTCAAGGCTCTTTACCTTCCTTCCTTCTTTCCTTCCTCCCTTCCTTCCTTCCTTCTTTCCTTCCTTCCTTCCTTCCTCCCTTCCTCTAGTCTCAACCCCAACCTCATAGCAGGAGCTGGTGTAGGGGAGTAAGAGAAGTAACAACTGCAAGTGGGGGTCTGGAAACTCACCCAGTGTTGGATCAGGAGAAATCCCGTCACTCATGAACCCACTGGCACTCTGAGCACATATCCAGAGCAGAATTATAAATGGTAGATTCACATTGAAATGAGGACTGCTGTTACACCGCTAGATAGGGTCATATGGGCTGCCAGGAACTTAATTGAGCTTTAGGATGTTGCTTGTATAAAAACAATGCATTTACAAGTTCCCATTGAGCAATGTATAAACAAGCCTCTCAGACACAAGCTCTTCTAATTTGGCTTTTATCAGAGTGATGAAATCTCTATGCATTTATTATTCACTAGAGGCCCGATGCACTAAATTTGTGCAAAAGTAGGCCTTCCTTCCCCCAGCTGCCAGCACTGGCTTCCCTCTGGCACCTGGGACGCAGGCTTCCCTCACAGAGGGAGGCCCCACCCACCTGCCGAAGCCCACGGGTCGGTGGCCTGGGCCTCCCTCTGCGGGGCAATCATGGGGTGATGGCTGAGCCCCCAACCAATCGCATTGCCCCATGCCTTGGCTGGCCTGGCACCAGTGGATGTCATAGTGTGGTCGTCCGGAAGGTGTTTCAGTCTAATTAGCATATCATGCTTTTATTATTATAGACTAGAGGCCCAGTGCATGAAATTCATGCAAGGGGCTTGGCCCTCACAGACCCAGCCTGGGCCCTCGCAGCCCTGGCTTCTTCCGGAAGGTTGTCCAGACAGTTGTTCTGCTGTTTGGTCTAATTAGCATATTAGCTCTTTATAATATAGGATTAGCAGAAACATCAAAATATATATATAATTCAATGAGAAAGACAGTTCAGTAAAGAAATTAAGGCAAAGGGACGCTAATGTTAGAAAAAACAAGTTGAAGCCATAGGTACTTTCTGGTTTTAAAATGCATGCCTAAAGGCAAGTGGAGCTTACTGCTAGCCAACGGAAAGAAAAATTCACTGGTTACATAATTCCTGAGATTTTGTTTTGGCCTGATTTCTCTGGAAAATGCCCAATTATGCCTGGTACTGAAGGCTCAGAAAAATTTCTCCCATGGATCCTCAATTGAGGACTCCATGTAATGTCGTTACCTAACATCATAGTTAACACTTAGTGGGGACTATACAAGTACTTGTCAGCACTGTTGCCTTCACATCTCAAAAACACTCTCTGAGACTCTTCTGAGGTGGAGAAAAGGTGGCTCAGAGAAGTTCAACAACTTGGCCAGGCCATACAGCTCAGAAATGGTGGGCCTGGGACTTGACGGGATCTGTTGGTCACTGAAGTTCCTGCTGTTGTGCGCTGTTTTATGAACGGTAACCCTAGAGTGACATCAAATAGTACTTTCTGGTGTTTCTTATAATGGCCTCAATAGCCAATGACAATGTGTGTCAACAAAGGAGCAAATTATCTTCAAACAGGAAGCCTAAAGCATTACTTGTAACACTTCAATTTTTTATATTAAATTTTGTACTTTCCACTTCTAGTGAATTAGTAGGAATAAAAAAAAAGAACGTTATTTTTCAAGGCTACAAATTCTCTATTTCTCTAGTAAATAAAACAAGTAGAATTTTCGCCCTAACCGGTTTGGCTCAGTGGATAGAGCGTTGGCCTGGGAATTGAAAGGTCCCAGGTTCGATTCCGGTCAAGGGCACGTACCTTGGTTGCGGGCACATCCTCAGTGGGAGGTGTGCAGGAGGCAGCTGATCGATGTTTCTCTCTCAGTGATGTTTCTAACTCTCTATCCCTCTCCCTTCCTCTCTGTAAAAAATCAATAAGATATATATATTTTTTAAAAGTTGAATTTTCAAAGTTCCATGTTTTCTCTTTTGTGTAGGTTGTAGCTCTCCCAGAGACTCTGAAGGGTTTTCTCACTGTCTGTGAGAAGTAAAGTACACTTGTCAATGCGAGAAGATTCTTTCTTAAATAGTCTGCCACCTTTTGTTTAATTTTGCCGCTCCGTGGAAAGCAGCTTTATTTTTTGTCCTACTTGCAAAAGGAACTTTTCCACTAACACCTGTTGAGAATATGAAATAGGTCATATTTCCATCAAAGAAAAGCTTATTGCTCATTTGCATAGTCTTTTCCCTTTGTGTTGAAGGACAGCAGTAAGTGAATGCCCACAAAGCACCTTAGAAGCTAAAGAGGGATTACACTGAAGGCTAAACCCTGAGGCAGGTTTATGTTCCCCAGTGCACTTTCCTGGGGCTTAGCATCTTTTCTCCGGGCTGCTGGGGACACCGGAGGGCACCATATCTGTCGTGAAATAGGACTAATCACCTTAGCCGAGTTCATATTTAAGGCCAGGGGAAGTAACGGAGACAGTGTCTGCTGCAGGGGTCAGATGTGCTTTTCAACCTGCAGGCAGAGGAGCGTCTGCAATTGAAAGGCAGAAAGCCTTCCGGTGGACTTTCCGTGAGCAGCGTCAACACCAAGGCGTCTTCCCAGAGGATGTGAGTACACAAATCTACACGCGGGTTAGTCCAGACCGAGGCTAGTCGCTTTTACCAAAAATGTTTGCATATGTAAAGTAAAAGGACAATTTGATCTTAAAAGGAATATAGTTCTATAGGAGGCTAATGAAAAATGGAGAAGTAAGAAAATAATCTTGTATAAGTATCATCAACAGCATTCCTCCCATAACCACTGGTAGGTACAAGAAATATATATATATATATATCACAGTACACTTCGGAAACAGAAATTTATATAAAGTTTTATCTATAAATGTTATTGGCTCTGATACTAGCAGTATGGTAGCTAATAAGTTCTTATTTGGCTGAAGCTACTAACAAGTGAAGGTAATATACTGCTCCTGTCAAGTAAAGAAATAAATACTACCTTGCCTTAATTTTTTTTAGGTGAAGGCAAAAGGAAGTTTTAAAAGATAAAGTCAGTTTAAAGTTATATATAAATTTAAGTGTTTTGTCATCTTCAAATATATCAAGTACCTGCCTCTGTGTGTTACTGCTACATATTTACTGTACATTATTATCTTAATGGCTTCCCTCCCATTACTGCAGGTAACCATATTCCAAAAATTGTCATAATATATGGGCCATGAAGTGTCAAAGTAGATCATTTCAGGGGGGAAAAAAACCATTGAAGAATAAGCAATTATAATCATGAAAATAATATATTTTATGTTACTATTTCTTAATTCATTCTCTGCAACTATCTAAAATACCTGAAATTCAGTTCAACTATATGAGTACTGCTAGAATTTCTTTAGTCTATGTACGAATTTTATATATAATAGATTGTGGTTCACAATCTTTTGAAGGAAGGGAACATAACTTATACAGATTGTAATAGCACATAACGTATGTTAAATTCAAGTAGAAAAGGGATTACATAATTTCTATTTGCTTAATGATGTCAAAGGTTTATCCCTTGTGACCCAAGATCTGCAAATATGCCTAGAACTTTACATTTTAAGAAGGTGTGGCTGGATCTAATGACAATGAGCTTCCAGAATGAAAAGAAATAAGTGGTGAGGGAACCATGCACATACCACTTGCCTTCACCAACACTTCCATGGTATATTCACTGTGAGGAGCTATGTTTAGAAAGTGCTAGAGCACATGCCTCTAGTAAAAGTGAAATATATTTTACGGTCACTGCCAAATGCTTCTGTATTAAGTCTTTGCTGGCAGTATACTACAGTGATAACTCATTTTTGTGTATACTGTGCTAGAATAACAGAAAAGGTGCTTATTGTTATTTAAAACCAAAATTAAGTCTAGCTGCCTTCTAAAATGGGATGTTAGTGGCTTAATTCAAACCAGTAGAAAAGAACTCTCTAAATTTTCTATCTTTGGTAAAGATGGGAAGGAAGGGGGTAAGTAGGACCCAGAGTGGAGGGCCCATTGAGTAAAGGCTCAGAGCAGAGTCTGGGAGAGGGTCTCGAGAGGCCTCTGCAAAACAAAATGGGGAGAATTGGTTTGGAGTTGTTGGGGTACCAGCTGAAAGAAGGTCATGGAAACGAACAAGAAACCAGAGCCTGACTTGTCAAAATGACCCAGAGGAATGGAGAAGTCTTGTTCAATTTTAAGTTGTTTTGGAGGCACATCCCCACTCCAATTGGCCAAAACTTCAGTAAAGTCGGCTACACACTGAGAGTGGCTTTATGTGGACATTGAGAGAAGTGGACTGCATTCTGAGTCAGTGAGGCATGGAGTAAGACTGGGAGCTCCACAAGAGCAAAAATGTTTAGACAGAGTGCCCACAGGGATGAAATCCCGGGAACGGGCAGAAGCTTTGTGGAAGATGTGGGACGGAGGCTGAAGGTGAGATCAGTCACTCAAATTTTAAGCAGCAATATCATTTGTCCTATTATAAATTACTGTGATGCACATTTGGGATGGAGATATTTTAAACTATTTCTTCCACTTGAAATGAGTGCTTGGATAATTTTAGAATTCCCTTGTAATCTTCTCAAGAAATATGTGATTCTTGCCGAAACCGGTTTGGCTCAGTGGATAGAGCGTCGGCCTGCGGACTGAAGGGTCCCAGGTTCGATTCCGGTCAA